CAAAATCTCCATGCCCAGGGCTCTGAGGGAAGGGAACACACCCCAATATTGTTCAAATTTCACTTCTACAATCAGATAACCACAGGCAAGCTTGGACACGCCTCAGAAAAATTTTCAAGCCTGCCCTTTGCTCAGAGAATGTGAAATATTTCATCTCCACAAGACACAAACTTGAATTTGGCAACCCCAAAAATGCCACAGCACTTCAGGAGCTGCAGTAACCCGAGAGAAAATGAGAATATGATACAAGAGGTGCTGGAATTGCTCTTCCTAAGCTCAAACAGATTTGTGCTATTTTTAAGTGGTTAATAGATGCTTTTACATGGTCAATAAATGCTATTAAGTGGTTAATAATGAACACACACGCAGATGACACAAGTCAAGCCATCACTGACCTATGAGCAGAGCCAGGCCGAGGGTGCTGGGACCAGCAGAGCCCAGGAGATCCTGAACTCTGGAGTAGATCCATCCCATGATATTCATGTTCACCGTGCTCCCCTAGGCACAGCAGAGCCATGTGAAGATCCCAGCATTTCCCAGCTCCAGGGAACACCAGGCACCAGTGTTTATCATTAAAATGCTACCCAGGGAACTTAAAGCAGGACAGAAATGATTCCCTGCTGGGCTGGTAACAAATGAATCATTGCAACATCACAAACTGAAATTTTACACAAGGCTGGGAGAGTTCTCACTTATGAGAAATGAATAAACCCACATGCACAAGCTCAGAAACGGAGCTGAATTTAACATATTTGGCCAAACAGGATTCCCAGCTGACAAGCACCAGGAAAAAAATCCCATTTTCCCCTCCTTTTGTCCCCAGAGAATGACCCATGGCTGCAATCCCAAGGCTGCCACCAGCTGAGCACTGGTGAACATCCCCCAGCCCCAGCTGGGAGCAGCTGCACTGGTTAAAAACCCCCAAAATGAGCTATGAAATGAGGAGCCCAGCTCCTCTCTCCATTCCCAGCTGTGCAAACTCACAATTCTGGCCATGCTGAGCTGCAATCCAAACACCAGGTTCAGCTCCTTGCCCTTGAACCAGCTCACTGCATACGTGTTCTGGGCCACCGCCAAGGACTCGCCCCCGATCCTGCACAACCAACCAGAACATCTCCAATGCAGCAGGCAAAGATAAAAGGTTGGGCAAGAGCAGAGTTCCAGAGGAATCTGGCTGTGCACAGGCAGATTTAATGGATGTTTATATAGACAAGGCAAGAGAAAGCAAAGATTTCAAAATGGAAGTGTGGTGATTGAAGAATGATTGGTGGCTCCAGTTTTTGATTCAGCAGCACCTGCAAAGTCCTGGGTTTTGTTTTCTAAGTTACACACGGAAAAGAAGGGGAGATCTTGCATTCCTCAGCTTCAGAGGTCTCAGAATTCACCACTTTTGATTCCAAGTGGCAGCTCTTCTTTAAGAGAGTTCTCTAGGGTTAGGGTTAGGTTTTTGTAGTTTCTGGATGGCCTTACCTTAAAGAGCACAAACCTGCCCTTCCACACTCACCCAAATATGAATCTGCCCACTTCCATCAGCCAGAAGGTGTTGAACAGTGCTCCCAGAGCAAAAACCACCTGCAAACAGCAGCGAGGGAGAGTGAAAATTGTGCATTTCAGGTATGGAACAAAGCTGAACTGCCTGAAAACAGGAACAAAAATGCTTTTTCCCTTCCCAGAAATACTTCACAGTCCTGCTCCTTTTGGCTTTTGCTCCCTCTGCTGTTTCCATCTCCTGGCCCAGCTGGGACTGTGTCATCCTCAACCAATTTCACATCAAACACATAAAAAAGGTGGATCCTTCCCACAATTCCAGGCACATTCCAAGGTTCCCTTTCCCAGTACAACCCAGGCTTCTCCCATTCTAGCTCTCAGCTGTCTCAGGTGAAACACAAACTGCAGACCCAGATCAGCCTTCACTCCCTCCCTGGCACTCACCTGCCCAACACACACAAAGATGCTGAATATGACAGTACCCAACCTGGAAAGAAAATAAATTAAGAATTTAATTAAATTAAGAAATAATAATTAATATATTAATATAATATATTAATATATTATATATTGTATATATTAATATAATATATTAATATAGTATAAGAATTAATAATTAAAATAAATTAAGAATAAATAAAGAATAATATGCATTTCAAGCATCATCAGAATCCTTTTTTTATTTTTCCTACAAAGCACTATTTTAGACCTGCAGCAGGGAAACAAGGGAAGGTGGATGGGCAATTAAAAGGTCTCTGTAATAAATTATGCAGCTCAACCACTCCCATAGAAAACAGGTAGCACAAGGTGGTGGTTTTGAAATTTATTTAAAATCATAAATAACTTTATTTAAATTATAAAGGAATAGAAGCTCATCTATATTGTTAAAAAATCCTAAACTGCATGGGGGAAAAAAATAATGAAAAGGTTTATTATAACCTTGAAAAGCTTTAAAATATAAAGTTTCAACTTCACCTGCAGTTCTAGCTCATCATTCCTTGCACAAGAGGGACACAAAGACGGCACTCACCGGATCCCAAAGACTCTGTCTATCAGGAAACCTCCAAAGAAGCACAGCACCACATTGGGCCAGGAGTACCAGGCATAGAGTGCCATGAACTGGGCTGTGTTCACCTTCATGTCCTACAGAACACGGGACAATTGTAAAAAGTCATTATTCCTGAGCTAGCTGCAGGGACACAGAGTATTCAGGAAGAACCACCTAGAAACAAAGTGTATTTTCTGTAATTCACAGATGGGTTAGGGTGGAAGGGCCTTAAAGTCCATTTTGTTCCTGTGAAAAACGAGGTTCACATATCTTTTATAGAATTTAGAAGTTTAATAGAAAGACAATTAGGAGATAAAAATAAAGTTTATAGATATGGCTGGGTGTCTCTGCATTCACCTCACTAACAAAGGATTGTCCCTTAAAAACAGAACCTTACTACATATCCATAAATTCTCATACATATTCAAACATTATTCTTAAATTTTGGATGTTTCTTTGTTTAGTTTTTGACTCGCCCCCTTCCCAATAAATCAATCTTCTTGGATCCACCGAGTTTTACATTCCCTGATAACAGAAATGCAATAAATTCCTCCCCCAAAGCTCTGGTCACTGCTGTCCTCATCTGGATAAGATAATCTGAGAATGCAGGGAGGTCTCTAATTATCTTTTTCAGCCTTTGGGTTATACAAACAAAAGTAATTTTGTTTTAATACTATGCCATAGCTCAACATATATGTATATTATACTACTATTTCTAAGTTTCACCAATAACAGAAATAGAAGGAACTATATTAATATAACGAAGTTTTCTAACCTTATACATATAACATTCATTTTAATATTTGCAAAAACCCAACAAATAATATATATCTATAACAGTTCCGAGCCCACCTTCCACTATCCCGGGTTGCTCCAAATGGCCCTGGGCACTGCCAGGGATCCCGGGGCAGCCGCAGCTCCTCCGGCCCCGCTGTGCCCAGGGAACAATTCCTGCCCATTTCCCACCTCCCGCTCTGCCCCGGGTATTCCATCAGTGTCCTGCATTTCCCAGCCCCCCGGCAGAACTCACCCGCTGAACCTGTGTCTGCAGAGCGGCCGGGTTATCGTAGCAGAAGTAGCTGCCTGCGGGGAGAAGGGAACGGCTCAGGGCTCTGGCCCGCCACCCACACCCCAAACCCCCCTCACGCAGCCCCCCGGCCCGCACCGAATCCCAGGAAGCACATGAGGGCCAGGACGAGCAGGCGGTGCGGGAGGCGGCGGGGGTCGCAGGCGGCAG